ATTGATGATGATGATGATGATGATGGTCAGCCGAACCTTTTATTTTTACATATTAACAATGAAACGGTAGAAGAAAAAAAACTTGTCAGCATGGCTTTGTTACTGAGATAACAATTATTGCAAATATATACAATCCTAAGAAGCAGCTTGGAAACTGAAATCGACAATAATCTTTATAAGAGCCATGTCAGACCTAAAATGTAATATTGCTATCATATCTGGGATGCAGCTTGTCTTGATAGAATTCAAAAGCGTCTAGGCGGCGTGAGGAATTAATTTTCACCCTACAATTAATTCCCACAGACGAAACGCTACTACGTGGTTTTTTTTATCAATGGTCTGTGTTCTGACGAGCTACATTCCTTGGTCCCATCAGATTTGAGCTTTGCAAATGGAACCCACTGTGCCACGTTCTCAAGAGAGAACCATCTCTTCGTATTCCATTAGTAAGGAGAAAAGTTCCACTTAGTTTTTTCAAAAGAACTGTTGCTCTAGGAAATAGACTTTCGACAAGATATCTTTTTCCGATCACTACAATCTTGACCTCTTCAAGTCTATGATTAATTGTTATCTTTCCTGTATAACATCATGAACTGAAATTATTGCCTTTTTTATGCTCATACATCACAACTCAGTAATCCTCTACCATGGCCGCTCTGTCGGCTGGGACTTCAGAATACGCCGACTGCACCTCTGCAGAGAGGTAAGACCCACCTCCCATTGAGGTGTCCTCGGTAAGGCGATAAACTACATCCGCGTCCTGGGTAAGACGATAAACTGCATCCAACAGCAAGACCTTTTATCAGAAGGTTTTGAGGAACGTTGAACTACCTCTTAATTGCTGGTGTTCCCAGGTTCACCCTGAACAAGGGTGGTAGCACTTGCTAGGGTCTCAGCTATGGGCAAATAGTTAACCCCTATAATGGGGTCAAAGCACTATGAAGTTGTAAAAAAAAGGCTCTTGCTACTTTATCGACATTTCGATGGCAAGTGTTTTGACAAGTGTTTTTGGTTCCACCATTCCTGGCCTTTTCTGCTGGGATGCAACATGCCATGGTCTCACAGATGAATCATCCCCATTCCCTTCATATTCCATTAGTAAAAAGGAAGTTCCACTCGGACAGGTTCTTCTCAAGAACTGCTACATTGTGGAACGGACCCCCGGAAAGATATCTTCCTGATCACTATAATCTTGAACTTTTCTAGGATTAACCGCTATCTTTCTTGTATAAACCCATGAATTTTACTGCTTGCTTTTTCTTACGCTTATACGACACTACATTGTGACCCTCTACCTTGATTGGTTCTTGAGCCTTGTATTGTATTTATCAGTATAATAAAATCAACAGATATCTACGAGAATATAAATATTTAGTTCATATCTCAGCTTTAAGGAAGAATCACACTGAAGAATAGCGTTTATTTTCGTTAAGCATATTTTATCTTATTAATTTGGACTGGTTTCATCATCTTTATTTGTTGATTTTAACCACAAGGCGATATACAGATTCAGGAATTTTTTTTTAATTTAAAAACAGTTTTTGAATAGTAAACAAGCTTTTTAAAAGGAAAAAGAAAAAAATGAGAGAATGACTAATAAATAACAACACTTTATGGCGATAAAATCTTCAACAGTCAATTAGTAAGGCGTTATCCATGAAAGACGAGCTCCTGAAATACGGTTTCGGTTTAATCGGCTTTTACTTCTTCATTCTGATTTCTTGATGTCTTCCTTAATGACTGAAGTAAGGATCGGTTAAAAAAGTTGTGATAAAATGAATAAGAAAAAAATATAGTCAAAATACTAGAATAAATGCGTTTAATATTGAAAACTATTTCATCATAGAATCCCAATAAGGCCCAAACTCCTCGACCTTTCGCCTGATATCAAAGTGAAGTATCTGTACTTCACCTCTCTGTTGCGTTGCTGTTTTCAGGCAATTCACAGAGAGAGCTTTGAAGGATGCTTAGTCCCGGAGATTCCAACTTTACAGCAGTACCTCCTTCATTGCACTAAAAGAGGGAGGGTCCATGGAATACCGACAACAGTGTGACTTTTTAGATTAACTGATGGTAACCCAACGTTACAATCGACTTGTGTCACATCCTGTCATTGTGGGGAGGCGATTAAATTTGGGCTAGTATAAAAATGTACGATATGTTCTCTCGAAACAATGCGGGAAAGCTAATCCAAGGGATTCCAATCCTGCCGCTGCACCTTCTTCATTGTATTAAAGAGAGCAATTTGGCAAAGACTGACGCCAGTGTGACCGTGGTCGTGGGGGACTGGACAATTTCTGTCCTTTGCTCATATGTATGCGTATGGCCACCCCACATAAAAAAATCTCACATCCTGCCAGGGTCGGGAGGCGAGTAAATATATGAGCAAAGTGTTGTATCTGTTCTCATCTTCCGTGTTTCTACTTTAAAACAGTTTACGGCTGTGTAATGATGGAAATCTAGTTACAGGGATTCCAACCTTGCTCTTCCCAAGCGTTAGTGTCGTTACTAGAACAGGGTAGGTTTTTTTTTCTTGACCCATATGTGGTGGTATGGACATCCCCTGTGAATCCGACTAAGTGCCAAATCTTACCATTATAGGCAGGTAGGTGCAAATACTCAGCTTAATATACATTTATCATTCTTTGAAAATATAATTTGGTGGAGTTTTATAATAGACACTATAACCAGAAATAATGTTCTTCACATTTTTTTTTTCATATTGCTATAGATTAAACACTTAAGACCACAAATAACAAAACTTATTTTCTTTTAATTAATGTTAATAGTGACAGTGGATTCAGTTTTGAAATTCATTGTAATTTGAAATCCCTACGAAAGCCGAAACAAATACGTTCCTACGACATAATTTCTTAAAAACGTAAAAAGAACCGAAATTTATAATCAAACGTGCTTAATTAATAGTAATATATATATATATATATATATATATATATATATATATATATATATATATATATATATATATATTAAGGTAATCGGATGTCTATTCTCACTGACAAGCTGTGGTACAGCAAAACAGTCTGTCTGTGGATGACAATATATATATATATGTGTGTATATATATATATATATATATATATATATATATATATATATTAATAAATATACTATTAAGGTGTGCTATATTTATGGGATAAAGTGCTCAATATCAGCGATAGAGCGTGTGTAAATATAAAAGCGAACATTGAAGTCAACACTTAGAGGCGACAGGCTGTTTCATGCTAGACGCAATCATCAGGCCACGACTACCTCTCTATCTTTCATAGTAGATGCATCGCAAACAATGTGTCTAAAATATGCTGAAGCCCCATCATGCGCGAACTGCATGCGTCTTCGTATTAGCAGGGGTACATCCTCTATCAGGTCTGGAAGTGTGTTTGATATAAAGTCCCTGTAGACAGCCCTTGCAAGACGTGCTGGGAGAATATATGGAGCTACCAGACAGTCACCTACAATTCCAGCCCACACATTAATCATCAATTGATGCTGGTGTTTAGCCTCTATTGTACTATGGGGATTTCGATGTTGGTTGTGTAAATGTATTATTCCATCTCTTCCAAATATTGTCTCATCCATAAACAAAACTGAAGAGACAAACAACGGCAATACAACATCGGCAAATGTTCTCCCGTAGGGAGTGATCAGAGGGCGAAAGACACTGCACACGTTGATACAGGAGCTGCTCTTGAAGTACCCTCCATGCAACGACATTCTAGGGCCAATTGACGTGTGCTGGTAACTGAATCGTCTCCGACAGCCCTTTAAAAAATTGTTTTTCGTGGTCAGGCGCACAAGAGGATCACGGTCTTCCTGGATTCATAGTTTGTGATGCCATGTATTCTATCTTAGCAGCACGCCGATAAACAGCAGCAGAAGTTGGATGACTCAGCTGCATTCGAGAGAGGGCCTGTGGGACATTCCATTACAACATACATATATATATATATATATATATATATATATATATATATATATATATATATATATATATATATATATATATATATATATATATATATATATATATATATATATATATATATATATATATATATATATATATATATATATATATATATATATATATATATATAATAAAAAAAACACATAAGAAAAAATTGAAATTTGTAATCCGGAGTGCTTTTTTATATATATATATATATATATAAGCACTCCGGATTACAAATTTCAATTATTTTCTTATGTGTGTTTGTGCATATTGTTTTTGGTTTTCTTAGGTGGGATGAATTTACAATGATTTAACATAGCAAAGTGGTCCTCTTACGTAACTTTTATAAAAATTTATCTATCTATTTTTGGTATTTCTTATCTGGAGTGCTTAATCTATAATAATATTAGAAAACATTTTGAAAAAGAAAATTTGGCCTCATTGCCAATTGTACAATTCCACCTATAATTATTTTTCCAGACTTTCTTGGAATGTGCGTGTAATCGTTAATCCTAATTCTACAGAATGTGTTCCTGAGCATTCCTTCCAATGCAGACTCACGCTGAGACGGAAGATTATTAACTTTAGTTGGGTGGTTGAGAATAACAGTCAAATAAATCTCAAGTGGTTTTAAAGAGTCTATCAAACATGTTATGAGAAATATTATTAGACGTTATTCTAAAAATAAACACAAATGTTTAATAATAATAATAATAAAATAATAATGATAATGTTCTTTTTCTACTGTTACTAAATTAGATGATTTCTTAACATTGACCTAATAAAAATAATAACTTTAACATATAGTGTTCTTAAACAGGCAATGTTAAGTCATTATATTAGAAGTAAGAATTATTAAAAACTTTCAATTGTCATTCTATACGTGATGCATCAAAAGACTAAAAGTGAGTAGATACTAATATTGCTAGAGTACAATTTCGAATAAAGTCGTCTAGAGAATATTAGTAACTAATCATAGACACTTAGGAGATTCAAGTTTATTTTTTAAATTATTTTTAAGAATAACCGAAGAAAAAGAAAGACAATCGTTGAAGAAAGAAAAACATAAACGAGACCTAATGAAAGAAGGACGCCCCCCCCCACAAAAAAAGGAAATAAAAAAGGAGAAAGAGAAAAAGTAATCAAATAAATAAAAAGCAGGAATAAAAAAACATAAAGAAATTGCCTCCCCCCCTCCAAAAAAAAAAAATAAACAACCATAAATGAAACTGAAGAAAATTAGAGAAAAATAAATCGCTCAAAAACAAACTGCATAAAACAAAAATGTCAGTATAAAAATGTTTTTTTCATTTCGATTCTATACATACTTCCGGTCGGCTTATGACCCCAAAAGAATAGAAAACCTTTTTCGTGTTCTTATGACTTTATTCGAAGTAATCCATGAAGGTTGTTCACTCGGCAATGGATGATAATCATCGTCATAACGTTAGCACTTCACACTCAGGTTTGATGATTAAATCACTGAATTTGGTATATTTTTTACCTAAAATTATGTTTTAACAGACTGTGCGTATGCATTGAATATCAAAATAAATACTCAGAAATTAAGGCATACGTTACTGATAAAATAGTGCTATTATAAATATTATGTAAATGCATTCCTATTGAATTGCTATATTTTACATTGAAAATCATAAAAAAGTCAGGCATTGTTAATTGTTAACATAGTGAATGTGTTACGGATATTAAATGTATCATTATCCCAGATTTTTTGCAGGAACTCTATTTCGTAATATTATTTTTGTGAAATTATATTATTTTGATTATTTAATGATTGATTTTATATGTGATAATGATATTGTTTTACATCTAATTTTATATGTGATAATGATATTGTTCAGTATATGTACATTGTGTTTGTATATAATTTTTGACAATGAACTAAAATACATTTTTCTTATTGTTTAATGAATGTGCAATTTATATATTCCGATTTAGGAAAATTAATGACGAAGTGGAAAAACTATCATTCATTTTCCTAACATTGTTCTCGTATATAAAAATGTATATATCATTTTCTTCCATATTCATATTTATATGCATATTTATATATTCATATTTACGAGGGTAAATCAAAATGTAAACGCAATTTTTTTTTCTTTTTAAGCATTTCACCCTAAGCAAGGCGTGAGAGCCACTAGCACCCAATGGGGTTACAGAGAGTGGGAGCAAGAGAAAAGAGGTGTGATAGAGGAAAGGACGAAGAGAAGGACGGGGAATAGATCAAGGCATTTGGAGATGTCGATTGACATTGCATTTGAATAGTTGGAGATTATAGCTATCAGGGAAGCAAGTAAGGGGGGGAGTTCCACAGACGAGAAGTGGAGTAGAAGAGACGGCTACATTTAACCGTTTTGACAGTGAAAAGGGTGGAACTGAGATGCCAATCTAGTAGCACGTTTAAATTCATGCAGTTTGGGAACTAGCGAAAGCATCTCGTCGGAGCAGTTGCCGTGAAAGTATCTGTAGAAAAGACAGGGTGGGCAGCAACGGTACGTCTGTGAGAGAGCGACTATAAACGAGATGCCAGATCAGGGCCGTTCGCATTGCATATCCGTCTTTGGATTTTGTCGAGGATCTTGAAACGAACAGCGGGGTCTCCACACCATATAGGGCGAATGGTTCATTTATAAATTTGAAGGATAGACTCGTGTGAGAAAAACTTTCTGGCGCGACAGGGAGAACCAACTTTCCTTAAATTTTATCTTTTAACCACTTTTAAGTTGTTTCCATTTATTTCTACTGATGAAGAACAAATGCATATTTCACTTTTCGATATAGTCCTCTGTTAACCATGTTTGCCGTAGTCTCTGAATAGGGAATCCAGTGAAGTCCGTAATGTGTTCAATATCAGAGGTTGGCAGTGAAGATTCGGAGAAAGTAGCAGCTGTTAAGTAATTCTTTAAGTCTTCGATATCAGAGGTTGGCAGTGAAGATATTTTGGGAGATAAAACAAAATGGCTGCCTTTATACACGTCGGATTGAATATTTTGAGCCTTCTGATTGGTTAACCCTTCTCTTGGTGAACTATAAAATGAGTCAGCTCAATTTGGTTGGCTCAATAGTACACAAAGTAACCAAAAATTCTAACATCCTCCTGCATAGAGATATCCTTCTGATATCGTTTAACAAGCTTTTTCATCCCTCTCTGAAAAGAAGCTTTTCTATTTTTCACAAAACTACGTCCGTGCCGCTTGGTTTGGGGTGGGGTGGGGGTCACCGAACGCGCATAAATTTTACGGTACCCCAAATGTACGATGGCTTGTGCTTCAGATCCATACCTGATGACCACGGTTGCCGCCACTTGTATCGGTCTTCCCTGATCAAGACATCCGCTCTCTGGACGTGTTCTTCCGTGCGTAATATTGATGGGCGACCTGATCGGCTTTCATCCGTTACATTTATTCTTCCCGCTTTAAAAAGTTTTATCCACCCATACACCTTTCTCGTGATTCATGATGCGTGCTCCATACTGCAAATACATCCGACGATGGATTTCCGCAGGTTTGACTTCTTCTGCCTATAGAAAGCATATTACGACGCGTTGTTCCTCGATATGGCAAACGCTGAGTGGAGCGTCCATACGTCTGACCTTGTTTCTCCCTGCTACTCGACTGAACGATGGAATACTTCACGCGGTTATCTACCCGGCATTCCTTGCGCATGCGTGGTGTCGCACATCAGTTCCCCCTCTTATTTTACTGCGTAATTTCAAAATTGCCTTTATATCTGATTTGCCCTCGTATATGTAATTTACATATATTTATATATATATTCATTTACCAGTTATACATATTCATATATACATGCATATTTATTTGTATAAATGGATACAAATTTATGCCTTAAATTTTCTCTTTTAACCACTTTTAACATAACTTTACTGTAGGTAAATTCAAACAAAATTATGTATGCATGCGTCTGATACTATACTTTACTTCCGGAACACTATAATTATATATATATATATATATATATATATATATATATATATATATATATATATATACTCTTGAAATACTACGTAACTATTTTGTATATATATGGCCTGAAGTTCGCGTGAAACTGACAATCACCAATGCTTGATTTCTAGCCTCACACTGTATTTACAAATGCTACGATATTAAGTATTCTTCTTCCATAAACATAGCTATTTTTTCTTATTGTTTTGTTTCGAACGGTTGACATCTATTCATTAACGCTTCATAAATTGGTTGCTGTTCAACTGACATTTCAGAAATATTTGTTACTGTGGAATCGGAAGATATAAACACGGCTAGAACCGGCCATTCATTGACTATGCAAGAAATGCATTTTGTTTTCTCTCTTTTAATCTTAGCCAATGAAAAGTGCATAACAATCTTGTATTGTATGCAAGAAGGTTCCTTCTCTCTCATGAAGTATTATTTCGCCTTTAATCAAACCGGAATGACGTGTAAGTTAAAATTCATTACAATTGGTCCATTCGCTTGCAAATTAAAAAGAACAAGTTTCAAACCAGAGGAGAATGTAATGGCGAAACATTCTAGAACTTCCAACTAGTCTTTGTCGACCTAACTCGACCTAGAATAGTTTTTCTTTAAAAATAATAAATTCGTTTTAATAATGTAGATTTTTATCGTATGAATGCAATTCAACAAATAAAAGAAGAAATGAAAAGTAATTTAAAAAAAAAAATTATGATCTCAAAACTTTAATGGGCATAAAATTTTTTCTGTAATGTAATTAAGTCTTTCTCTAATATAATTATTTAATAAGCTTAACATCATTTGGCACAAAGTAATAGGCGATCGAAACTCGAAAGTCATGTGGCAGCCAATTAAAGTCCAATTGCACAAGCAAATTGGTAATGGTAATATTAGAAATATTCAGTAGACCGAACAGCCAGTGCTTGTTTCAGCCAAAAATTATAAAATCTTTCTATTAGAAATTATTTGGGGAAAATAGGTTCCTCAAGTTCAGTATTATTGCTCTTATCAGTACTGATGGTATGGGGGTTCCTTTCTAAGCTTTTATTCAAATTAGTGTGGAGCGTCAATATCTTTATTACGTCACTATTTTCTCGTCGAGCTGTATGTGATATCCATTTTAGTTGCTACTACTGCTGAAAGTCGTCAAGCGACGAAATTTCTTTTATTTGGTAATTTTCTTTCTGTGTGAATATGTAGCGCCAGTCTACGAGGCTTGAAGAACGGCAATTCTCTTCAAGATCGACCGGCTTCATTCACTCGAGACTATTTGTAATGATTGATCTGAGAAAGAGGCTGTCTAAATGTTGACATATTAGATATTGTGAACGGGCTGGGCGCCGTGCATGACATTCATATGACGGTACTATTTAATAACATGACTTATGGTTTTGGTTTATTTTTTTTCGGTTTTGTAGCATTTTGCGGTGTTGGTTAATGAGATAAAAGAAAAAAGCATTCCCAATACGAATGGCGCCCAAGTCAGCTAGTCTGGCACAAAGCCACGATAGTGTAGCACTCAACTAGAATGGAAGGCAATACACTTGCGAAGTGGGATGCAAGTTGGGCGTCGTAAACATTGTGCTACATGCTAGGTTTTCTTATTTCCATACTGTTATTAAAACGATCAAGACTGGCTTTGGTTGGGCTTGGTTGATTTGGTGGACTTTACGACATATTAAACTTTATTGGGTTGTTTAATAACGAAATTACACCTGAGTCTATAAGTAAAAATTAGCTGTATTTATACTTGAATTTTATCGCCAAATATTGGTCGTCCAGACCCGGGTGAGCAAGCATTTACCTGGTAGCTGACTTTTCGGAAAGGGTGGTCTTAATCCTATGCAGTGGTTCCATAGGCGAGCCAGAAGAGGATAGCAAGTGAGGCGGAATGATTGAAAGACAATCAAACATTTAGAGACAGTTTTAAAAAATTCTTATGCCAAAAATAAAAATAAAAATGTTTTCAAAATTTAAAATATTATTATGGATTACTTGTAAATACATGCATGAGTCCCAGTATAAATAGTTATAAATAATAACATTTTATCATTGGGATATATATTTTTTTTTTTGCATTATATCAAGTATTAAGAATATACTAACTAGGATCTGCAAATTGAAGGAGAGAGTTATCAATGGTAATGGTCTGACTTCGAATTCGGGTTATCTCCCTTTAAACCTCTCTTTTTTTATTTTTAAATTTACTTTTTATCACATAAAACATGATGAGGCACGAGCAAATTTTAATTCCGAAAATGCGGCGCAGAGAAAAAAAGTTTTCTGCACAGAAATGCAGTCGACATATTTTAGGCCTTAAATTATTTTTTTAGTTCTTCAAATTATATTTTTCATAGTTGATATTTTGCGTAACTTGCTTGTTTTCTTAACTGTCCCATTGGGAAGAATGCACATCTGTAGAAAAATCATAATAATAAGATTCGGTTCTATAAGTTTAACATATATGGGAGGTATTTCTGTCGCACTTTGTATTCCTATTTTCAAAGCTGTTTAAATTACAATTAATTCCAGTCAGTGTCATATGACTATTTGTGTTCATGTGAACGTTCAGGATAATAGCCTCTTTGGAAAGCATCATTATGAGCAATAAATGTGTTTGCCAACCGTTGATGTATGCTAAAGAATCAATTAACATTGGATAAGCTCGTTAGGGATAAGTAGAAGTTTAACTAAAGTTTAAATATAGTTGGAGCTTAATTAATTACAGAATAGTTCCTCTTATTTCTGTTATTTTATTTTAGATTTTATTTTAATTATTTTTTGGATGTACAGCTAGTGCAGTCATTAGATTGTCGGAACGAGAAATCGACGAAGGGAAATTCACTTTCGCACAAATACCCTGGTGAAATGTATGAATCCGTCATTTCTCACCCTGCTCTGGGTAAAATAATAGGACGGACTGGACTTTCTAGTCACAGTTAGCAACCAGTATAGGAGAAGGACAACTTTGAATTCGAAACGGTATGAGTATGAAAGTGAATTGACATTGAACTTCAACGTATAGAATATAAAGTACACACACACATAGATAGATAGATAGATAGATAGATAGATAGATAGATAGATAGATAGATAGATAGAATTCGCTTAGCGTACTTACTGGTTTCAGGTTACCTCTGTGGATGTTGAAGAAACACAAATAAACCTGAGCAGCCATGTTGAGTATGAGAAATTCCACTGATTGGAAGAGTGCCTTCAAGTCGAAACAGCCTTGATAATGAGTTATTTATTTTAGGAAATAATTAAAGAGCGATCTAAAAGTACTACCTCCTGTTTATTTCCACGGAAACTCTTATAGTTACAGGAACACAATAACATCGTTTGATAGAGCTAGTTTTTAACTACAAAACCCTATTTTTCCACGAATTGTTATGCATTTTCACCAGTAACAAGAACCTTCAGGTTGTGGTCGTAAAAGTCTCTGTCGGTGAAGGCGACTTACACATCGCTGGCGCCACTGCATCTGTTTCATACTAAATTTCATATCAGACGCCATTTTTACAGAATGTCGTAAAAGGTCGTAAAAAAAGACAAAAAAAGTATAGGTTATCAGTGGGGTGGTTCAACCTCTACTGCATACCCATTAAAGTCCACCTCTCATGTTGTGGGCCAACGTAAAAGAAAAGCCATTACTTACAGTGTAAACCGCATAATATAAATTTTATAAAATGAAAGTGAATTGACATTGAACTTCAACGTATACAATATAAAGTACACCCCCCCACACATATATATATATATATATAGATAGATAGATAGATAGATAGATAGATTGTAAGCCGAGAACTTTTTTCGCTTCCTTAAATACAAACGCCATGTGATATAAATGACACGTGACATATACTGAATCAATAAAAAATATTGTATTTAAAAACTGATACATACATAAACAAAAACGCCATAATATATACACGTGGTCTTTGCACAATGAGTGAAGACAAGCAACACAAATTGTAAAATGTTTAATTTCACATTATTTCACTTTCCAAAATTTCTGCTGAAGCTAAATAAGCGGCGAAATACGTTCAATTTAGGAAAATGTTCCTTCTTGTTTCTTATTTAATCGTTCTGTCGCGTTTCATACATATTTTCAACTCATATATATATATATATATATATATATATATATATATATATATATATATATATATATATATATGGGGGGGTGAGTGTGTGCGTGAAAAAAGTTTTCGCGTGACGAGTTTCCACATTTAGGTTTTCATCGGAGTAAAAGGGCACAAAGCATCACGAAAACATTTCAATATTTTCATACTTGTTTTCCGTAAAATTGTCCTTGAAAATAATAAATTATATGACAATTTTTCGATATATATATATATATATATATATATATATATATATATATATATATTTATAAAAATTAGGTAATCCGTATGGGTAAACCCAAGGAGGATAAAATCCAGAGAGAGCTCAATGCAAATCCAAAGCAAATAATTTAAATAAAGACAGACTTTAAGGTTCCATGTAATAAATTATTTCACCACAGCCCTTTTAAAGGACTGCGGATCATCAGACTTTACTTCCATATATATATATATATATATATATATATATATATATATATATATATATATATATATATATAAATGATAATATATAGCTTTAAGGTATGCTATATTTATGTTTTAAATTGCTCAATATCAGGGATAGGGTGTATGTAAATATAAATGTGTTCCCTGAAGTCAATGTTCAGGGACCATAGTCTACTTCATGCTAAACGCAATCGGCATTGTTTGACGATTGCGTTTAGCATGAAATAGATTGCAGACTATTGCCTCTGGCTGTTGGTAAATGTAGAGTTAAACATATATATATATATATATATATATATATATATATATATATATATATGTATGTATATTTAGGGTTTATGAAAAAAATACTTTTATGAACTTTAGGAGCGCGTTCTTAACAATAAAACAGGGTAAAATGTCCATATAAATATATGTCCAAAAGGCCATCATTGTACCTCAACATATGACAAATGTTCCAAATGTCCTCCGCTGGCTTTTATACATGCAGGCATACGTTGGATCATTGACAGGCGGAACCTTTCAAATACTCCTACACGATGTCGAATGGTTTCGCAAGCTGCCATGACACGTTGATGAAGCGTCTCTGCATTATTAATATCTACTACATAAATCAATTGTTTTAGGTGGCCCCACACATAAAAATCCAAAGTCTTGAAGTCGGGGAAACATGCCTGGACATGGAAACGCTCCTCGCCTACCTCTCCACCTTTCATAGTAGATGCATCGCTAACAATGTGTCTAAAATATGCTGAACCCCCATCATGCGCGAACCGCATGCGTCTTCGTATTAGCAGGGGTACATCCTCTATCAGGTCTGGAAGTGTGTTTGATATAAAGTCCCTGTAGACAGCCCTTGCAAGACGTGCTGGGAGAATATATGGAGCTACCAGACAGTCACCTACAATTCCAGCCCACACATTAATCATCAATTGATGCTGGTGTTTAGCCTCTATTGTACTATGGGGATTTCGATGTTGGTTGTGTAAATGTATTATTCCATCTCTTCCAAATATTGTCTCATCCATAAACAAAACTGAAGAGACAAACAACGGCAATACAACATCGGCAAATGTTCTCCCGTAGGGAGTGATCAGAGGGCGAAAGACACTGCACACGTTGATACAGGAACTGCTCTTGAAGTACCCTCCATGCAACGACATTCTAGGGCCAATTGACGTGTGCTGGTAACTGAATCGTCTCCGACAGCCCTTTAAAAAATTGTTTTTCGTGGTCAGGCGTACAAGAGGATCACGGTCTTCCTGGATCCATAGTTTGTGATGCCATGTATCCTGTCTCAGCAGCACGCCGATAAACAGCAGCAGAAGTTGGATGACTCAGCTGCATTCGGCCTGAAAACGTAATCTGATAAGCCGTGAAGCCTTGCGTCTATTATTATTAATTGCCTGGGCGTATGTAAAAAAACATATCTGCCTGCTTACGATATGCATATCGTGCCATTTTTAAACGGCACACTTCTCAGATAACTTACTACTACACACGTTAAACATTGAAGACAAGCTTGCCACGAATGTACATGAATGACAAATGGAAACTAGTCTACATGACAACAGAGCGTCATCTACCGTTGCGCGAATATATTTATATTGACTTTTGTTCTTGTTTTGGTGTGAGAAACCCGCTCCCAAAGTCTGTAAAAGATTTTTTTCATACATCGTATATATAAGCTGTGTAGTAGTTAGCAAGCTTGTCTCAATGGGTGCCCCATACCTTCAACCTTGTGCCGCGCCTAAGCTACACTTGGAAAATCAATATATATATATATATATATATATATATATATATATATATATATTCAAGCGAATATCTTGAATTCCAATATCCGCTTGAAGATGAAACGGAACAAGCTTTTAATTTAATTATATAATTAAATTTGAAGTTTTTAGCTTCAGTTTTTGGAATATGGTTATTACTGTGTAGCGAAAAAACATTTTAAATCAGTTAATTTATAATATTTATGCTCTGTAAATTTACATTGAGCACCGTTTTGTATAAATAAAAAAAAAATCAATAAGTACACCGGATTATATATCTTACTGTTCTTTATATATATATATATATATATATATATATATATATATATATATATATATATATATATATATATATATATCAAAGTGTAGGAGAACGAACTAAAAAATAATTCCCCACCTGATGAGACGTCTAAAAAGGTTTTCCCTTTTTTGACGTTGAAACAAAATGTACAATTTTGTAGTGGATTTGTGCATGTTCTAATGTAACACTTATTTTAAATTTTTGCGTTTCACTCTGTCGTAAAATACTGATTTCAGAATAGAATGAATTTTTTAAATGTTCCTTTAAATATATTCTGCAGCTAATAATTATCCGGATGATTCCAATCTCTTTTGCTTATGACAGTCAATATAAATTCTACTTGTAGAAAGTAGCGCAAAAGCTTTAAACTATTTCATAGTCTTTAATTTTGTGATTTATATTTCAAAGTCGTTTTCCTTTTAAACAAAAATATAAACCAGCTTGCATCGCTGAACGCGAGAACACTTTTATAAAGAGAAAACTAGAATCACATTGTTAGATATTTGGGGATGTAAAAAATAAAATAAAGGATAGAAGAAAAAAAAAGTAGAAAATAGTTTGACTCCGCCTCGCAGTAAGAAGACAACTCAACGCCTGTTTCTCAACCTGTTAAAAACGGGTTGAATTCCCAAAGTTATGTCAAAAAACTGACACTTTACTATTTCCTAATTAGAAATAAGTAATTTTGTTCATCGTATTCTGATGACAAGCTTTCTTTTTTCCCGTTTTTTATTCATTTACTTATAGTGGGTAATAAAATGACAATATGGGAAAACTCCTAAGTGACACGATTCATCCCCAAAATGGACTTCTTCAGAATAATAACACTTAATAGTTATATCGATGAAATCAGTTTTACACACACACACCCTCACATTCACACGCACGCAATCATACACAAACGCACATATATACACGCACACACACACACACACACACACATATATATATATATATATATATATATATATATATATATATATAAAGTATTTTAAGAAAAAAAAATTATATATATATATATGTATAAAATTTAAGAAAAAAAATTTATAAATTTCACGAAACCAGTACTAGCTGAAAAATTTCAAATGTTTGTAGGAAACCTCTCATATTATCATTACTATATATATATATATATATATATATATATATATATATATATATATATATATATATACGTGTAGCAGCAATAACAAATATAACTAAAAAATATATAAAAAACTCCTAAGAGACACATTTCATCTCCAAAAAGAACATCTTCAAAGTAATAATAGTCGATATTTTTATTGATGTAATCAATTCATATATATATATATATAAATATATATGTGTGTATGTGTGTGTGTGTGTGTGGTGTGTGTGTAAAGTATTTTAAGGGAAAGATTTTATTTTTATAAATTTCAACAAAAATCAATAATAGCTGCTCTGTCAATGAATACTAAACATTTCCTTGTAGAGAAACGTCTCATTATTATTACTATTTATACACAAATACACACACACAAACACACACAAACACACACACACAAACACACACACATATATATATATATACATATCTCTGTGTGCACGTGTGTGTGTGTGTGTAATAATTGAAATATAACTAAAAATATATCTGTAAAATGACAATATGAATAAAGACAAAATGCTAACTTATATCTCAGCCCACGCGTTTCGTTCTCTCATGCACTTTATAAAGTCAAATTATTTTATTTTGCAACAAGTGTTTATACAAATATTTATGTAGCATGTAGTCAATTTCGTTTATTAGACGTTAAATTACAACACTTACCAACCTCCATAATTTACCCTGAATTTCACTTCGCCTTTCACGTTCCTTTTTTTTTATTTTGAAATGGAACAACTGACAACATATTTATTTTTGTTCATAAATACTTATATTTGCATTGATAAAGCGGATGAAATGCATCGGCTAATATAAGTATTTATTTTGTTTTTATTCATATATATATATATATATATATATATATATATATATATATATATATGATAATCATTTCACCACAGTCAACGCAATAAGTCCGCAAGGGGTGTTATAGTATATGAAAAAACACTATAAAGATAGATAACAATAAAAGAACAGGAAGATATCGATTGACATTGAATTGAAAAATTTCTAATATCAAAGTTGACTGGAAAGCAAATAGCCCTAATAGAGACGTTTATATAT